GCTTCTAGTATATATATATATATATATATATATATATATATATATATATATATAGATACGAGAGCTAAGATCTTGGGTGGTAGAACACAAAGGGAATTTACAAGCCCTAATTGGAATCATTTGGATTACTCTTTGTGCACACACAACACATACACACATACTTTCTCTCCATATCTACGGATGTATCGCCTATAGAAGAACAAATCTCTTTCTTTCTGGATTCCATTGAGGTATTAATGTACTTCCATTAATTGATCGACAACGGTCGAATAAAATACACAATTGAATCTCATCCATTTTTCAAGGTTTGCTTTGATTTAGATATGAATTTGGTTTGTTTATGGTTTTTTGCTTTTCTTGCTGGAGTATTTTTGGTTCCCAAGATGCGTTCGAAAGAAGACAACTTCAAGAGGACTGATTCCTGATGAAGTAATTCTTATAAGCGGAACCTTTGATTTGGCTTCTGTTTGGAGATTTTTGGGTTTGTTGCGTCTCTGGACAAGTGCATCAAAGAGTTCACCGACGAAAGTCTTTCAAGATGTGTTCGAGCTTTACAATCTGAACAAAAATGGATTGATTTCAGCGAAGGAGTTGCACCAGATCTTGAGTCAGTTAGGAGAGAGGTGCACCATTGAAGATTGTACGGATATGATAAAATCGGTGGATTCCGATGGCGATGGTTATGTGAATAATTCACCTTATGAAACACATATAATTTGTGTTTGATTTCATAAGGTGAAATAACATATCAACGGGAACTTAGTTTGATTTCATGAGGTGAAATAATATATAAACGGAAATTATGCTTGATTTTGGTGAAATAGATTATGGATGAAAATTGTGTTGGATTTTTCATGTGATGAAGTAACATATATGTTAACATTATGTTTGGATTTAATGAGGTGAAAAAACATATTTATGAAAATTTTGGTTTATTTCATGGAGTGAAATGACATGGCGAATATGTGTTTCATTCGGTGAAATCTCCATATGTTTCATCCGATGAATTTGTGTTACCAAAATGACGTTATTGCTTTTTTCTAATTAAAAACAACTTATAATTAAAATCATAGGATCAAAACCAAATTAAGGCTTAGATCAGTTCTCACGATTATCAACCTTTTTGTGGTTGTCATTTGATCACCGTCCTATATATATATATATATATATATATATATATATATATATGTGTGTGTGTGTGTGTGTGTATATATATATAGACGAAGGATCGTATAATAATAGTAGATAAGATGAGAAGCGTAAGAAGGGATTTGGACTCTTGATCATTTTTAATCTCACCCTCATCCCATAAATTGTTCTTCTCATGAAAATTATTCTGGTGCATCTCATTACTATTGATCTTCTATTAAGATTGATCCAAGGGTGGAGATCCCTTCTTATCCTTTACAAATATTTTAATCAAACAAATAAATAAAAAACGAGCATTTCATTTTTTTCGATATGACATCCATGTTGATATAGTTTTTTTTCTTCGTTTTAACTATTTTTTTTACATAATTTGGTATATCTGTGTAATATTCATTATGAATGTTCATGTACCTTTAAGTGTATACGGTAGCTCGACATCGTAAACACGTAACTGGAATCACCTTATTCAACACCATAAGTCTATAACCCAAAAACACTTTCTTCAACGCTAAACGTCCGTAACCTGGAACCATGTTCTTCATCACCATTATCCAACATCCATTGAGGCTGATAAAAAAACCAACATAAGTAATTGAGAATCCATCCATTGAATTGGTGTGTGTTTGTATGTGTAAAACCATAACCTACCACCTCCATTTTCTATCGAGATCAAACGAGAACCTATCAACAGATTTATTATTGTTTGGCTGTGTAAACCCATAACCTGCAACTTTTAACTTATATCAAGACATATCGGGAACCCATTGAGATCAATCGAGAACCTATCAAGACTGAGCGAGAACCCAACCGGACTGGTCAAGACCAATTAGGACTAACCGAGAACCCATCGATATTGATCGAGACTAATTGGGATTCATCCATTAACTTCGTGTGTGTATAATACTAGGCTTGGTAAAGGCATAAGGATGGGGCGGGGACCACAATCCCTATCCCCGTCCCCAAATGGTGATATTGTTCCTCCATTGATCAAGAATTTCGATTTTTGGCATCAGGTATAGTAAGCAAAATCCTACGAAAAGAAAAGGGGGGATACGAAATAACCATTTTAAAATATTGGATTTTCCGTTATTTAAATCGTTCATATTTTTCTATCAGGTGAGTCCACACCTTAAGATTTTCTAACTTTACTGCCAAACGTCCTTCCTCGATAGGGAATATGATCACATCCCCATCCTCGTCCTCAATGGAGAAGAAGAATCCCAAATAGGGAATCAAGGATTTTTTTTCCCCATTTATGTGAGATATTTTAAATCAAATATTGTGTTAAACACTACATTAGATCTAAAATGGTCTATGTTTAATAGAATACACTTAAAAAAATAAACTTAAATAATTTAGTCAAATGCTTTAACAAATAGATTGATAAATATTTTTGCATCAACTATTAATCGGGCTTTAATCATTATCCAAACAAACTCCAAAGTGAGCGCTAAATTTGATACTACAAAACACTAAACCCATAGCCGAACCAAGCCAAGCCAAGGCGTGATCGTCCTTTGCCATCTGAGCACTAGAGAAGGAACAAGTGGGAGAATTCAGGATCTCCGCCATGGTAATCTATCTCTGTTCATTTTGTTCAATGTTAGATTTTTTTCCTACGAATTACAAACCCTAAATGTAGTTGTTCTCTTAGAATGAGTCAGAGGGCTATTTGGCTTTGAAAATTCACATATTGTGGTTCATAAAATTGATTAATCGCTGAAGCTGATATGGATTTTGAGAATTTTGTAGTTCGTGATTGGTTCTTTTAGGTTTTTAAGTGATTAATTGCTAAATCCATATGCTCACAGTCGAGTTACATTATTTTACTAATTCCGTCCTACGAAGCGAGTTTGTTTGAGGATATAGAAGGTGTTTTTAAATAGCTTTTTGGACGTATAATGGCTTTTGATTGGATGCAAGTTAACAAAATTGTTTCATATAAGATCTTCAAAGCTGTGATTGGGAACATAAACTTTTTGGATATTCTTTAGATTCGTTTATGATAATGAAAAATTGTAGATTGTTGAAACCTTGTTTTAGGTCGTGACATCTACATGTGTTGATTTGTGGTTCGAAAACACGATCCTTACCCCCGAAATCCTAACCATGCTTAGTTCTTTGGATCAAATTGCATGTGCAAATGGTGTTTGTTTTGAAACATGATTCTCATCCCTTATATGTGTGATCGTGCTTAATTCTTTGGATCAAATTTCATGTGCTTATGGTTTGATATATGGTTTTGGAACATGATCCCCAACCTTGATAAGGTGAGCATGCTTAGTTCTTTGGTTTACCATATCTCACCTCAGTTCACTTTCATTTATCGATCTTGATGGTTTGAATGTCCATTTTGAAAGCCTTATTGCACTGATGAAGGTATATATCTATGATGGTTTATAGATTGTATGGAATAGACATTGTTTTAAATTGAAATTCATCTGGAATTATTCAAAAAGTGGTTAATCTCTTGCTTTGAACATGTTTATTGTGTACAACCGTCACACAAGACGTTCATGATCAAGAAGAAGCTTGCTAAGAAGATGAGTCAGAACATGCCCATTCCCAATTGGATTCGTATGACGACTGGTAACAAAATCAGGTCAAAACTATTATTAGAGTTGGGTGTGTTTTTGGTTTCTTTTTTTAGGTCTCTGCTGACATAATTTTAATTTGTCCAGGTACAATGCCAAGCATAGACACTGGCGTAGAACCAAGCTTGGATTTTGAGGTGTTATATTTGCGGTTTGTCTTATTCAACAGAGTTGAAATTTTCTTATTTTCATTACTAGCTTAAAAAGAGATGCACTTAAGTTTTACTTTATTTGGGATTTTGATAATACCCGTGCTTATTGGCATATTTGTTTTTAGCTTACCTTCTATGAATTTTTGAATCCTTAATGAGAAACCACAATTGGAATCTGTTTCGGCTTCTACAAGTTTAGGTTACAAATTAGTATCTCAAGTTGAATGTTTTTAGCAAGGAACTTTATGAGCGGTGTGGTGATTGGCTAATTTTTCTATGGTTGTGGCGTTGTAGTCACGATGTTGTCTGATGATACCTTGTTCTTAGAATTGTGGTATTTGGCTTGATTTGGTCTTGGTTTAGGGGTCCATCTTTGTTGTTTCGAAGGTTTCATCTCTACCATGCTCTTATCACCCCCTCTGCCATGTTTTTGTCATACGTAGTAATGTAGAGTTATGAAATTTGTTCTCCTGCAAATCTAAGTGGTTGTTTGCTTTGCTATTGGTTACCGGTTAAGTGTCGTTTATCTGTTCAAAATCCACGATGTTGATTGAGGTTTGCTATGGGACCTAGACCGCTCTTTTACTTTGTTAGCATCTCTCTGATTTATGTTGGCTCGGAACTTTGGTCATCATGAATGGCAACAAAAAACTAACTTATTTACAATAGGTTACCTTATAAGCATAGCATATTGAAAGGCTATTTATAGTGATGAGATACGTCTAATGAGTGGGCGTAGGAAAGGTGTGGGTTTGTTTTTGTTTTTCAATTTTGAGATGTTCTATTCACTTGTACGTAATTCTTTATTTGTACACTTATTTATATATCAAATAAAAGAAAATATGACCAAAATGGCCCTCAATTTACCTCATGTTTGTTTTGGGTAATCGACGGATGTTGTAAAGAATATAATGTTTGATGTAATTCTAAACTATGACAATTGGTTGAGTTTTTGCACACCACAAAGTTGATTGGTGTAATTTACTAGGTTAATCTATGTATAGTATATTATAAAACATTTGACAAAACCTCTTAAAAACCTTTTTTATGCGTGAAGTACTGTTTATCGATGCATATTACTTAAAATTCAAGATTACAGGTAATTTTATATAAGTGTAATTTATTAAAGCTTAATTTTTAAATTCGTGTAACTAATTACAGATAAACGTAGTCAAATACATATTAAACATTCATTTTAAATATAGAAAATCTAAAATATAAATAAGATAATCATTGAATTATTGTAGAATATTTATTATTATTTTTCTAAAAAAATTATATTATTAAATCAAAAATAAACTATTTTGTTATTAAATATAAACTAAATTATAATAAAAAATTGAATTACAAAAGTTATACCAAAAAAACGAGAACTGTTAAATAGTTAATTTGATACTAATATCAATTTTTTTTCAAGTGTTTATTCTATCTTCAAATTTATATTTCATTCAAAAATAAAAACATTATCGCTTTCTTAAAACAAAATAAAATCGTATTATATCGATAGACACAAAATAAAAACCAAACATTAAGATCGAGATTTATCTTGCTGCATTGCGTGAGTACCGTTCTAGTAATCTTAAATGAGTGGACTAAAATGGATCTCATGGGTCTCACTTTTTTCAAACTTCTCAAATGATTAAGGGGTTGTTTGCTAGTTGCTGAATGGTTTGGTGCTAGATGATTAAGTGGTCAGAATGATTAAGAGACTCTCATGATATAGTGTAAAATGAAATATAAATGTTTGATAATGGTTTACAATGTAATTAGAATAGTTAAGGAAGGCCTAGGATACAAAATCATTCAGAGGGTTTTTAAACTATTAAGAAGCAGACTTTTTTTTTGTCAAAACAAGATTCACCTCTTAACGATTCAGATGTTGTCTCTTAATGAAACTATTAGAGGTAAACAAACAACCCATAAGCTTATATATATATATATATATATATAGGGTTGGGTTCACGTGAGACCAACCTGTTTTCGTGAGACCCGTGAGACCACATTTTTACACGTAAACTTCACAGCAAAAACACTGTGAAGGTTTTAAAAAGTCGAACCTTCACAGCAAAAACACTGTGAAGGTTTTAAAAAGTCAAACCTTCACAGCAAAAACACTGTGAAGGTTTTAAAAAGTCACCTTCACAGCATTTTTGCTGTGAAGTTTCAAGTGTAAAATGTTGGTCTCACGGGTCTCACGAAAACAGGCTGGTCTCACATGATCCCAAGTCTATATATATATATATATATATATATATAGAGAGAGAGAGAGAGAGAGAGAAAAGTTCAATTGTTTAAAGTGATTTTTGGTTGTGAAGCGGGGGACAAAGGAGAGCACGACATGTGTCCCCAGCGTCCACATTCGATATGAATAATGAAGATGAAGTTCAAGAACTATTCCTTGATTATTCATGATCTATATTAAATAGATTCATTATCCATGATGAATAATACATATTCATCATTGTTTATGATGAATAACCTATGGACGGAGGAAATATGTGTCACGCTCTTCTTTGTCTCCCGGTTCATAAACGAAACTAGATTTTCATTTGAACTCATCCCTACGTATAAGATCCTGTTTTGATGTATTTTTCCAAAGTTTTAACTCATTCATGTTAACATAAAAAACGATAAAGGCACATTAGTTAAATACCCCCATAATATTGGATAAATAAGCACATATGTTAAAGCCTAATGGCTAATTAAGGCCATGTGTTAAGACCCGTTATTAAAAATAGGCCCATTAGGAAAAAAGCCCATGATTCAATATCTTTTGGGCTTAAAAGAATTCTCAACCAGGCCCATATGAAGAATAATTGCCATGTTTAAATCACCCATTGTTAAAATTTGGGACTAACAAACTAATTGGAAGCTAAAAATCTAGTCGAAAGTTGGGGTGTTCAAAAAACCGATCAAACTATCAACCCGTTGAACCCGATCTGAAAAATAGACTAACTTTGGTACAAGTCAATGAAAATGGAGTCAATTATGGTTTAGGTCTCTATCAAACCGAACCCAACTGTTAAACCTGAAAAAATTATAATAATTAAAAAAAATCATATTAACGTCTACTAACAAACACAAGTATACGTTAACAAGCTAATATTTTCAGATTCCTACTAATCCAACACTGCAATGAGTCTAACGTCTGTTTTTTAATAACAGATAACATGAACATACTCAAAGCTAATGAAATATTGGAGTCAGAGAAATTGAAGTCGTTGATTGATAGTGTCTAAGGGCTTGTTTGTTTTTAGATAATTATACATAAGCTTGGATGACTGTAACTTTTGTAAGTGGCTAAGGGCTTGTTTGTTTTTTCAAAATTACTTCTTAATACCTCTGAAGTCTGATTCATTCAGACGTTTGAATATTAAGGGCGTTTGTTTTATTTCTAAAATAAGAGTTTAAAAGCTGTAAATGTCCTCTGAAATTTTAAGTGGTAAACGTATCCCTTAATACCTCTTAATCTTAATTCGCCTTCTATCAAATGGTTCTTATTTTGGGGGTTGAAAGAGATTTTTAGTAAAAACCATTTATCTTTTATACTTTTGTAAAAAACTATTTATCTTTTATATTTTTACATTAATTTGACCGATTCAGATTTTGGACTTCAGATGTAAAAACAAATAATTTTATTGGTCCAGATTTCAGAACCACCTCTTATAAATCAGAAGTGAAATTAGACTTCAGACTTCGACACCTCTAAACGAACACCACCTAAGTATCAACACTAATATTTAATTTGAAATTGTAAAATAATAAAAAAAATAATAATTAGAAATACATTGAAAACGTCCAACCCAATTACCTAACGAGGACCATCCCAAACCAGACTGTAAATGAATCGGACGAACACGAACAAAGGCTTGTTCATGTTCGTTCGTTTAACTTAACCGAACAAACGAACGAAGACGAACGGTAAACGAACGGAAATCTTTGTGTTCGTGTTTGTTCGTTTAGAAATCAGGTGTGTTCGTGTTCGTATATGTTCGTTCGTTAACATGCTAAACGAACGTAAACGAATGAACATGCTAAAGGAACAGTGAACAGTGAAAAGGTAAAATTTTCAAATAAGACAAAATGATGATAAAATTTAAATCTAAATAAATTCTAAAAAGTTAAAACTTAAATAAATATTATTTGAATTCAAACTAAATAAATAAAAGATTTTATATTACATATAATATATAAATGAACACAAACAAACAAATATAAACGAACGTTCACGAACATAAATTAACGAACGGGACTCTTGTTTATGTTCGTTCGTTTAACTAAACGAACAAAAAAATATGTTCATGTTCGTTTATTTATTAAATAAACGATCATAAACAAACTTCCCGCCGAACGATTCACGAACGTTTCGTTGAACGTTCGATTCGTTTACAGCCTTACCAACAAGTAATGGTTTGGCTGTGGTTATATATATTTAATGATGGTCGAATACATTTTGTTTTTGCAAATCAATATAATTGGTTTGATTTGATAAAACATACTCAAAATATTCAACCCAATTCATGTACATCCCAGTCAAAAGTCGTATTATTTAAAAAATAGAAAATAAAAAAATTAAATATCTTTTTTCTACAAGTATATAGTCAAAATATAATTTAACTAACTTATTCATATAAAACGACATAAAATGATATATACAGAATACATCTGTCAAATTTAAATTTTATGTGGATAATTACACAGATACAACCTAATCACCAAAAATAAAACACTAAAAATAGTAAAGAAAGTGGATCATTTGAACATTAAAAAATCAATTCCGACCGCACACAAAATAAACACTAAATACTTTCTTTAATATAATAATAATAATAACAATATAATATATGTATTCATAACAACTTATATTATAAGTATATAATTATAAATATTTAGTATTATATTAATATATTATTTATAAAGGCAATTTTATTAACCTCCAAATATAGATGTCAACTTTAAAGACCTCTTTATTTTGTAGTGCTTTAATATTGGGATAAAAATAAAATCACAAATAAAATCACTTATATTTTTGTATTTTTATTGTTGGTTAAGAGATACCCATCTCTAATCCAA